GGCAGATAGATACTGACTCCAAAAGTGTCTGGATATTGGACATTTGTTATTTGATTGTTGTAGATGTTCATGGAGGAACAGTCCTGAGCAAAGGTTGCATACAAGTATGTCTGAAGACAAACAAAAATCACATTTGCCTCTTACTATCTGCCATAAGCAGATTTGGTAGGAAAAGGCATTTAAGTGAAGGGAGGGATGCAGCAGTTGCAAGCCAATCATGAGGAGATAACAAGAAATGTTGCTGACATTGCCTGGGCAATTCTCTCTTTATTTCTCTTTGTTTAAACATGAAAAAACCAATGTGAAACCTTGAGCTTGGTTTGCGACTGTCCTCCTCAAAAACTAACGGAGGRCCCAGAGACGTTGATAACAACAAGTTTATTCATCTAACAGTGCAGGGTGAACACATACCGGTAGACTTTTCATAATAACATAGATGGGCGTGCACGGGAATTTTTTTTMAAATACTACCATGTTGCAATTTTGGATGTGGCAATTACATGCAAAGTGATTTTTACTTTAACGCTCTACACGGTTACACGGTTGGTCGTTTTTAGAACGCCGAAATTTTGATCGCCTTTGCTACGATCGTCGTATAGTGCAATTTGAAGAAGATAGCACAATACCTGCACAGTTTTGGTCATTTTATTATTTTTTGTAGCGGCTTGATACAGTTCTACCAACGATGATTTTGTTAAACAACGTTGAATAATAAAACTACCTTACATAAGCCACTACAAAATAAATCTCTCAGTGCACGTTAAATAGGAAGTACAAATTCAAAAGTTGAAGGGAAGTAGAGATATTTTTTGCTTGGATTGAGAGATGTGAAAGATAAATACCGTACCATAGGTTCATTCTCTTTCCTTCAAAGTTCTCAATGAAATACTGAAGTTTGCAAAGTTAGGTTTGTTGGGAATACTAATTCCTAATTCTACCTTCGCWTGAGCAATGAATAGAGCGTTTGCAGAGGAACGACGATTGAAGGTTTGAACAAAAACTGCTTGTTTCATTTGTACGGTGGGAATCGACTTCTTTGCAGCAATCAGATTTAAYGCGCTGAGCAATTGTTAGGAACAAGTGTAATTATGACTGTTTCTAATCGGTGGAAGTACGTACTCGTACGTACGTACGATACAATGACAAAACCCAACAAAATCACAACTTACTACTTCTGATAGTGTTTGAGAAAACAGTCGGTATAATTAACTGATCAAAACTTACTTATGGGCTATTACTGAAAATAATTCATTACTTAGTACTTCAGAAGAAAGAATAAGATTCATTGCATAAACGATGTCTTCTATTCTTCTTTTTTGATGTTCCAAGATMATCTGAAGATAACTTTATTGCGTGAAGTCTCGTGTTGTAAACAATCTAACACCAGGTTTTTTTGGTACTTTTTGGGACCATCGTTTTTTTTTTAAACGATCACAAATGAGGCTCGTATTGCTATCCTTGTTTGACAACGAGAAGCTGTAACAGTCGCCTACATGTCATAAGACGCAAGGCCAGAAGAAACTATCGACCACCACCCTCATTCATTATGCTAAAAAAAACATGAACAAATCAGATTTTCCGGGCGAAAGACACAGCAGTTATCCTTTCAATGAAGATGAGATTCTAAATCGTTTCAAAGTGATTTCACATGATATTGGTGATAAGGTGATTTCGCTCTCCGAGGATGTCCTTCTTACTTGTGATAGTTGGTCGGATCCRAATCACAATATTAAGAAGCTTGAAGAAGCCATCAATGATCCTCGCAAAAAACATTTGGTATTTTATGACATGTGGCACGACTCTGTTGTGGAGGGAATATTATCTCTCTTTTCTGAACACAGGAGCCGTTGCTGGTCATCAATCGAGTTTCGCGGTTGCCAAGAAAGGCACATCAATGCCGTCTTAGAATGTGCCTTACAAATAGACATTGTTCAAACCATTGCTTTTTCTTTGACCAACGACAGGTTCAATCCATCGAAGATATGCGAYGATTCTACCTTCCACATCATTTCTAGATCAATGAATGGTAACGAGAGGTTAGAATGCCTGATCTTCCATTCACGTCCGCTACATTTTATCCAATACGAAGCGCTAAAAAATCTYAAGGTGAAACGCCTCCACTTTTTGGACGGAATATGTTTACACCCAAACGAAATCACGGAGTTGGCTGCAGGCATCAAAGCGAATCATTCGTTGGTATCCTTCTCATTTCTGGGGGGAACTCGAGTATCCAACGGGAACGACATTTCAAGTATTGTCAATGCGCTGAAAGCGCATCCTTCCCTTAAACGACTTGTACTATGTCTGAAGAGCGCCTCGGAAAACGGAGTGAGAGGTCTCTCCGACTTATTRAAGTGCCAAAATTCCGTTCTCGAATCATTGACGCTAACTGGGGGTTTTACTCTCAGCAGTTTCTTCGCGAAAGGGACATTTTCAAATGGATTGGCGATGAGCAAACTGAAACATCTATACCTGAGAGAAATATTTTTGTTTCCGGAAGACGTGGAAGATATGGCTGTTGGACTGCGAAAGAATCGTTCGATTGAATCTTTATCTATGAAACTAGAAGCCTCCGGTATAAGGGTGAATTTGGCCCCAATCGCKTTTGCTCTCGAAGGAAATTATCACATTCAAAGACTAGCATTATCGGGGAAGTGTAGTCTGGGGCAAGGCATTTGCGGAATTTCAAAGCTACTGTCATCTGATCGATGCAAGGTAAAGGATTTGCATCTTTCGGGGGCATTTTTGGACAAACCTTCACGAATTCCGAATTTTCTTGAAATTTTTCTCAATGGGCTCAAAGGCAACCAACGATTGGAAAGCTTGGATCTCTCCGTAAATGACCTATCAGATCAGGAAGTAGCTACGATTTATAACGAAATACCTACGTGTCGTTCCCTTACCAACCTCGATCTAGGAATGAACGATATAACAGCCCAAGTTGTTGGATTGTTCGCCAAGGTTAAAACCCCAAGCCAGCTATGCGTCCTTCGTATATCTTCGCAAAAGTTCTCATTCTTCGAAATTAATGATCGGGTCTGCCGCAGACTGGTAAAGCTCTTGACTACCAATCCAAGATTGGGTGACGTAAACTTCAACATGGGGCCTGTAGAATGGCATCATAGCTACCAAGACAACGGGAATATGAAATGGCATCGTAAGTGTAACAATCAATCATTGACGACTTTGTATGAGAGCGAGAAGCARTGCCAAACGATKWTCAGCCAAACGCGCGTTCTTATTTCCTTCTATCGCTTCCCCCTCTTGAAATTTCTATCCAACTACGAACGCTACAATATATTGCGCATCCGTTCGTTGTTACGTTTCTTTAGATTTCTTTCCATCCTACATAACCTATGCATTGCATTTCAACAACAAGCGAGTGAACTACATCAAAACCAAAGAACTCAGCAGGGCCGGCAGGCTCGACCTAGAGCGCATTCAGTATTTGTTGGATTACAACTGGACYGGACGGAGCCTCGTCAGCCACGGCTACGCCGACAAGAAGGTACCCATATCGCTGTGGCCCAAGGTGTTGGAACGGGTGTGGAAGGGYCGAACCTGTTTCTGGACCGGGCGGGAGCAAGGGACGAGGCTGGAGTGTGCCCACAGCGTTGCCTATAGTTTCTTGCGGGAACACCTTGTGGTCGTTTTCAAGTCGAGCCACGAGAACAGCAGCAACACCACGGCAAGCGATCGGGGGAGAATGATCAGAACGCGAGGMGACGTCGACACAACTACGGATCCAAGGAAAAGACCGAGAGTAGTATAGTTACATACAATTCGTAGGAAAAACTAACATACAATTCGTAGGAAAAATTAACTGTTCTTTGTTCACAGCCGACTACTATTGTTTTAGCTGCCACGCGCAGGTTTCCATCACGGATAAGGCCACGGGTCCCTCCATTCCTCCGTGCTCGTCTCGCCCAGGACGGAAGCCAGGATCTTGTTGTGGGGCTCAAAGAACCGGCGCAGGTAGTCTCGTACGCCCGGGTCCGTGGCGTCGTAGGMACGGCTGTTCTTGGCCGACTCGTCCTGGATGGGGTGGTTGGGYAGGTCCAGGTGCGCCCAGACCCTCTGCATCGTGTCCTGGACCCCGTTCGCGGCCTTCATGGATTCCAGCTTCAGGCACAAGAACTGGTCCCGGTCAAAGGACTGCAGCCAGGGCCGTAGCTGCAACGCGTACATCCCCCTCGTCAGCAGTCCGTACGAGCCCGTGTAGAGCGGGACGTGTTGCTGCAGGTACCGGTTCCATGCTTCGGCTTCCCCGGGGCTGCCGGCAAAGCGAGCAAAGGACTCTTTGTCGAGGGTCCCTTCCTCGATGTTCCAGTAGGGAATCAGCCCGCAGCCGTCCATCTTGGCCAGTTCCAWCTTCACGACCTCCCASAGRGTCTTGCCCCTCCATTCCGTTCCCCTCGTTTTGAGCTGTGCGGGAGTTCCATCCGGGGAGGTCACCATGGCATGGTGCGATGCCGCCCTCTGGACGGGATCCCGCATCATGACAAAGAATCTCATCTTGCTGTTGCGATTGCTCTTGTCGGGGGCGGTGTGGCTCCATTCGAAGACCCGCTTGAGACGGGGAATGACCCTCCGGCTGTCCAAAAGGTAGCTAGGGGTCGAATCGCCCGTCATGCACGAGGGCCGCAGTTTCATTTCCTCCGTGAAAAAGAAYTTTTGGCAGTGTTTGCGCTGGCCGGCCTTGGTCTTGAGCGCTCCGTCCCACCTCCAGTCGAGGCAGTGGGTTTCCCGCCGCCGGGCCTTGAAAACCCACGGGTGCTCGTTGATGTAGTGGTACAGACTGGTGGTGCCAGCTTTTTGCGCCCCCAGAACAATGAAGGACGGGGTGGGCCGGGGGGTCATGTTCTTGACGCGGTCCACGGATCGCCTCGTTTGGACCAGCTTTTCGCCGGGATCCAGCTGGATCGGTTCCAGCGTAGATTTTTGTTGTTGTTTGACACTGGCATTGGCATTGGCACTGGCATTGGCATTGGCACCGTTACCGGCGGTGGTATCCTGCACCACGTAATCCAGGATCAGGTGGACCCGGTGCACTCGATCGCAGTTGCTGACGGCGTGCTTGGCCTGGTTGTTGATCTCAAAGACGTGCCCCGGTTCGCAGCTGATCCGCTSCAGGAGCTCGGTGGACGGCCCGCAGCGAAAGACCACCCTTGACGGATCCTCGACCAGGATCGGAACGTGGACCCGGTGGGTTTGCTTGACCCACTCCCCGCTGTCGTGGTGGACGGGGATCGTCGAGCCCGGTGGGAGACTCGCCAGGAGGGCACGGACGAGGACCCCCTTTTGGTTGCCGGCCTGCGGAAAAATGGCGCCGATGATCGGTTCCAGGGCTTTTTCAAAGTCCTTCCACCAGGGAAATCGGTAGACCCTCGTGAGAAAGTCGTCGGAGAAGACGAGGACGATCTTGCCGATTCCCCAGGCGTCGTGTGAGGGCCGCGTGAGGRTGACGTTGAACTTGTCGGCGTTGCGGGGGTCCCAGTAGTTGGTGGGCGACAAGTCCGGCATTGTTTCCTCGGTGCGGTAGTCGCAATCGAAGCCCTCCCGGACCATTTCCTGGAGTTTCGAAACGTCGACAAATCCCCGCGTCGACCAGCAGGTCGGGTTGCGGAGCAGGGGCTCCTGCAGCATGGGAGGCGAAGAATCCGAGGACGACGAGGAGGACGCGTCCGAATCGGACGACGAGGTTTCTGGYTCGGTCTCTGCTTCTTCCGTGTCTCTGTTTCCACCCGRCTTGGACGTATCGTAAAAGGCAAACGGATAGGTGGGCCTCGTCTTGTCTTCCAGCGAAATCTCTCCCAGTTCGTTTCGTGGAGCGCAGGGCATCGGTTTTTGGTCCGTTGCGGCATCGCCCTCGACCAGCACCAGGGCTTCCTGGTGCTGCCGCTGGATTTCCTCGTCGGACGTGGCCGGCATCGCGATTGGTTTTGCGCTTTTTTGGTTTGTCTTGCTTTGCTTTGCTTTGTCTTGCTTTTCTCTGGCGGCGAGGCCGTGGTTCCGCCTTTTTTTTTGCGTTCGTTGCTCGCTTCGGATTGCTGTCGMTTGGTCGATCGATCGGTGGAAAAATTGCTATGGCACAGACTAGCGACAGAGGCAATTCGTTCGCTTCCGTTGGTTGCCGATTTCGAGAAGAACAATCGCTCTGAAACGAACAGACTGCGAGTTACTGTCGTATGGATTTGGATTCGCTCGCTGAGCTAACWCGGACTGTTCTCACGGGGAAGAAAGTGCGGTTTCACACAACGCACGGTGCCGTAGTTTCGGGTTGTTTGGAAGTGARAATCGCGAGTTGGCGTCCTCGTCTTCTTTCTTGTTCACTTTCTCGTTCAATCCGTGTTGGTGCTTGAACTGATTGAACTGATTGAACTTGTTTCTCCCAAAAAGGAGCAAGACCGTGGGTGGAAGCGGTTTAGTCACGAGCTGCGGAAGACTCGAAGGCAAACAAGGTTTGATTTGATTTGATTGATTTGATTAGACTCCTTCGATTCGCACAATGAGATCGCTTCGTAACGTAAGTACGGTACGAGTAACGAACCGACCAATCAATCAAAATACTTGAAACCAAAAAATTGAGAAGTTTCTTTTTCTTTCGGTGATTGATTTAGATTGTGGAATTGAATACAGTACGGTAGAAGACGAAACCGAAGAAGCACGACGATAATAGAATCATTCGAACCTATGAATATCCCCAAGCGTTAACCTTGAACAATATTACAAACGATCATGGCGAGCTGCGATACCAATCAACACGGTAGTACATGTCAAGCTACTAGTGCCGCTGCGGGAGCACTGCCTGCGCCATCGCCRGCGTCTTCCTCAGCGACGACAGAACCAACGGCAAGCAACACCACAACCGCACGTACCAGTCATGCGGCGAGTCCTCCGGCAAAGCCACCGACTAGCAGCCCCATCCAGCAAGCGGTTGATCCTCCCCACGGGGAAGCGCATGCAAACGCCACTGCCACTGCCATCGCCAGCAACAGCAACGGCAACGGCAACAACAACAACAACAACAAACGCCGGCGGCGAGGGAGAAAGCAGGAGGCCGCGGCAGCCCCGCCACCGGTGCCCCCACCGGTGTGCAGCGTCTGCAGGATTGCCGGAGAACCCCCAAAGTACAAGTGTCCGAAATGCCGCGCAACCTATTGCAGCGTGGCGTGCTGCCGGCAGCACAAGACCGTGTGCCCCGGGAAACCGGGGGAGGGAGACGGCCGGGCCGGACGAGGAGGCGGGCAAGCAGCGGTGGGTGCGGCCGCGTCCAGCAGCGGCAACAGCAGCAGCAACCACAGCAGCAGCAACCACAGCAGCAGCAACAACAAGAACGCGCCTCTGGGTCCGTCGGCCCAAAACGACCCCGGGAAGGACGATTCCAGCGACGACGGCGGGGACGACGATTCCTCCCTGGAGGACGGGTGGAAGATCACCGACGACATGACGGTGGCGCTGCGAAACTCGGTGTGGTTGCGGACCGAGCTGCGGGACGGCGGGCTCCGGGACATGATTTCGTCCGTGGTGAAGTCCCAAAAGACCTACAGGTCCCACCGCAGGAAGCAAAAGAAACACAGGGGRCGATACCACAAGCGCGGCCGGTTCCAGCAGAACCAGAAACAGCCCCCCGGGCACCCCCACGAGGTCCTGGCCGCGAAACGAAACGAGAACCGGAACTTTGACGTCTTTSTCGACAAGTTGCTGGTGCTGGCGGACGTGCTGGAGCGGCAGGAGCCGCCGCTTTCGTCGTCTCCGGGTGCCGAGCCCGGGCCGCCGGYCAATGGTTCCCGAAACGAGAAAGAACTGGAGCAGTGGCTGGGGAGGAGGTGGGACCCCGGGATGCCACAACCGTCTCTGGTGCTGAGGCCGAAGCGAAAGGCCGTTCCGAAATTCCAGCCCGTCGACGTTTCGTCCTCCTCGGAGGACGAGGACGAGGACGAGGACGAGGACGACCGGGACGATGGCGGGGAAGACGTCACATCCGTGACAGACCAGCACGGTGCGCAAGAACCCACACCACCACCAACGCGGGGGAACTAGCTACAATGATACAAGCAACATGCCATTGATTATGAAACCAACGCAGTTTTTCATCCACCATCCAAGCCGTTCCCATTGAGCCGAGAAAAGGAAGGATGGTTTTGGGATGCTCGTGTTTCCGAGTCGATATCTACCATGGGAAGCGTGACGACGGTGCCTCAACAATGGTCAAGAAGACTTTAAAGTACAGATTTACAATTCCACAGCAAACACTTATCTTCTTGTGTGCATTCACGAGTTCAGCCAATGGCAACATATAGCAACAAGGGCGGACAGAAAGATCCATATCCTCTGRTCCATATAAAATTGCGTCTTGCACCCGTGTCGCTTTAGGCTCCGTACATCGATCCAGTGCGTGGTTCGTTTCTTCTTTGGATTCCACGGAAAGAACGACCGGAGCTCGGCATCCTTGTCCCGGTCACACCGGGCAGCCAGCTTTTCTTGGTCCTTCTGTACCAGGTCGCAAAAGACGGCCCAGTCCTCGTCCGATTCCAGGAGCGACCCGGTGTCCCCGAMRGAGCCGTCGATCAGCCCAAAGGTTTCGCGCAGGGTGTTCCGGATTTCGTCCCGGGTCAGGGAACGCTCGTCGAGCCAATCCAGGAACCGGAAGGCAGCGTGGCAGCTCATCCCCATYTCGCGGCAGCGGTGCAAACCGAGACCGTAAGTCAGCCACGGGTTGTGTTCCCCGACCTCCCTGGCTTCGTCCGTGTAGTCGTCCAGGACCTCCAGGGACAATTCCATCTGCTCGTCGAGCCGCTGGTAGTATTTCAAGATGGCGTCGTCGTTCGTGCAAAGCCGRACGACTATCCACGCYTTCGACTGGACCTGTCGGAGAGCCATCTCGAAATCTCGGTCGACGGAGGGCGATACAAAACCAAAGCCATCGGTGGGCCTGCCGTCCGTCGCCAATACGAGTACGATCTTCGTTTCCATGTGTTGCAGGGATTTGTGAATTCGTCGCAAGTGGTCCGTCAGTGGGGTTGCACCCYTGGGATGGATGCGGGACACGCTGTCCGTGAAAAATTCCATGTCGTCCTCGATCCATTCGGATCCTCGTTCGGCAATGCCCATTTCCTGAGGGTACGGATTGTCATCCTCATCGCTGGGCTTGTTCAGCATGATAAATTTGGTRGGGGCGTCGAGGAGTGCTGCCAAYTGGGCGTGATACGTGATCGTTTCTTTCAATTCTTCCCATCGCGTGCAACSCTGGACTCGCACATCGTCCTGCGATGCCGTGCTCACCAAGCGCCTTCCATCGGAGGCATTCATTGAAGTGGAATTGTCACAAATCCATATCGTTAGGGGCAARTTCTCTTTCGATCTCGCGAGCAGAACATTTCGGGCCAACGACGGCGTAAATCCCTGTTGTACGAGGCATTCTATCCTCGCTGTTTCCACCTCGCTATCCATTGTTYATGCAGGCCGCGCTCTCCCCTCTCTCATTCAACACTCGGTTCGACTKTTAGCAATTGTGCTGGAAGAAAAGATCTTTGTTTTGGTATTTTGTGCGTGCCTTTCACGAAACGGAATGAATGAAAATCAGTCGTGAATCAAAAATTGACACGCGGCTTTCCGACCGTACTTACGTACCGTATGGTAAGAGCGTGTACAGTACGTAACGGAGCAGCCACATGATGTAAGCATTCGTACGTACGAGGTACCGTACGGCAGGGGTCATAAATGACCCCTGCCGTACGGTACGGTACAGTTCTATTTCTACATCAATTTCTACATCAATTTCTAGTAGTACGAGTACGTACTCGTACGAACTTTTATTTCTACGTACAGTAATTTTACTGCTTTTGGTTCTACGGATTTTGAGAGATTGAAACCACAGGCATTAAAACTAAAATAGCTCCTAGAGAATGAGGCATTCTGTTCTTCGCTCTTAAATACTTCGAAATTTAGGGGTCATATGTTAAACATTTCCAAAAGATAAAAAGACCCCATGCTTTAACTTCCGCTCTTTTYCTACCGGTACCCTTCGCTTCCGAAATTACATTGTTTGTGGCAATTGACGGGATGCAGAATTCTCAGAGATTTGTATCTTCGAASTATGGACAAACAGAATCGACACTCCTTGAACAAAGATAACTCAAATTAGGATGGTTCAAGTCTTAAAATTCACGAACTTGGGTTTTAAAATTCTTTAATGTTGCTCGTAACTTTTAGTACATACGTAGGTAAACGAACTAGTACGGTACGGTACGCTTGAAAATCTGATAGCCAAATTCTTCTCGAGGGCTTCTCACAAGTGAATTTAAAACACGTAGTACGTGTTACGAAATAATATTATTTGAACATATCCAATACGCTTTTAGTYGTCCTTTCTTCACAGATTTGACCGACGAATAGACAAAAAATGTCCGTAGGATTTGACAAAAAAGAATAATGATCTGCCAAAACAGTAACGGTAGGATCCATRAACGTAGAACGTACTGTTAACCGTACCGGTATGGGTACRAACCTGCCAAAATCCTTTCAAAACGCAAATCGGAATCTCTGATTCACCCCATTTTTCTTCATTTGGATAGAGCTTTGATCCTCACTGCGTTTCCGTAGTACAACATGACGAGAGCGATGCGACCAACACTTMAGCGATTGGTGGGAATCCAATCTTTGACGACGACTAAGACGCCAATTGCGGCTATTGYGGTGTCAGGAACGAACAACGAAAATGCGATTGCTCCAAATGCCAGATTGCCACCGCGATCATACRGCCAGGCAAAAGCGCAAGAAAAAGAGGTTTCGAAAAATCAGACCAGCACTAACCACCGGCGAAACATCGATTATACATCATCGTTCGAGACTTCGTTGGACCAAGTCCTGCGTCTTGAACGGGATTCTCCAACATCAAGCGACAAAAGCCACCACCGATCTATGGAAACGTGTGTTCGGGATTTCTTTCGGATATGATGCATCACAAAGTATTCATGACAAATCTACCTTTCCCTGTGAAAGTGGCGATAAAAGGAATGCACAGCTTCTCCTCCAAAGAAACTCCCAAAAATCTTGATACATTCATCAATTTTTGCTATTGCATAGAACATGCCTCCATTTTTTATATACATAATTTTGTAATAATACAACAGCTACATCTGACGAAACATACAAATTGCACTTTCATCTTCAAGCATGCATCACCTTGAAAATCTATCGCTAAATCGGAGAACCCGTTGTTTTCGAACCGTTTGMGCTTGCAAATCCTTTTATGGTTTAAGTCAATGCGGTCGTCACCCAACGACTTGAAATGCAAGCAAGTAGAAGTGCAGAAATAGAGTGTTCTGTTATAAATGCACTGGTTAAAGTATTCTATCTACATGTGCGATAATTTAAAAAATAAAATTATTCTTCTTCGTCATCGTACTGGTCTTCCGAATCGTATTCATCTTCGTCGTCCTCTAAGTCGGTGTCTTCGACATCGCTATCGTCGTCCTCTGAATCGTCTTCGTCTTCAGCGGATACGGTTCGTGTCACAGCATCTGCTTCTTCCGTTTCCGATAACACCGTAGGACAGATCGTTTTTGCTCCATCCTCGCCATACAGCGCAATGACCGATTTTTCCAAGTCCATGCTCAAAATGGCTTGCTGGGGTGCCGGGAGAAAGCTCAGTAAAATCAAAGGCGGATTTGACATCATGTAAAAGATTGTCTTAAACAACATTTTGACCGGCCTTGCTTGCAGACCAAAAGAAAGAGGTGCACCCCAAAACAGAAGATGACGCGAAAAACTATTTCTGCCACCAAAGTAACCCAAGAACAAAAAGAGTAGAGAGTACTTGATAGCCTCCTCCCAATTCTTTTTTCGTCGTTGTTGTGTYATTGTTTAGGAACAGAATAAGATGGARCATRAAAAATTAGAAAGAACAGCGTAYATCTGAAACATCCCGCTCCTTGAAAGGTTCTGATTCCTTCAGTCCGAGTGCAAGAAAATCGCCATCTACGTACCACGTTTAAATTAGTTTGAATTGTCGTTTTCAATTGTGTTGTAACCCCTCCTTTACTACTTCGATACCTTTGTCCTCTCCATTCTACTTGAGAACCACTTCCACCCTTTGTGGGTTCTGTCATGCATTTCTCCCAAATCTCAACGGGTGTTTCGGATTGAAGCTGTTCTCTCAACTCCCTTGCCTGGTCTTGCAATTCCATCCTCATGAATGGAGAAGAGGGTGTGTTTGGATCGGCAAGGAGCTGCGCATTTCTCATCATTGCTACTTGATTCAAGTAATAAGCATCAACCAATTCGTCGGTTGTCAATGAATCGCYGTCTCCAACGGTGGCCGCGGTATCCGTTTCGTAATCATCATCGCCGCTGTAAGACATAAGTTTAGGAACTAGTTCCGTGGCAAATTTTGGGTCGACGGGTGGTAGAATGTTAAGGGTCAATTTTCGGCTTGGTTCGTTGCCTTCCTCAACTTCGTCCTCGTCCTCATCTTCGTCTTCGTCCTCTTCGTCTTCAAAGAGTTCGTCCACAAGTGTATCGTCGTCCAAAACACGGCCCTCATAAACAATCTCCAAAGCTACAATAGGGGGTCGACCGGGAAGCTGCTTRGAGAGCGACTTCTTGATCGTCCCTATGTCTCTGGTTCGCGCCGGCGTCAATTCCACCGTCTGGTCAATAACGGCATTTCCCCAGTTGGTCGAAAGAATCAAACGCACAGGTTCCTTAGATACAATTGATGGAACCTTTTTGACATCAGAATCCTCTTCGTCTTCACTGGATTCCACCTCATCGATGTCCTCGTCCTCGTCCTCGTCATCTTCGTCGGCCATTTCTTCTACTGTGCTGCTGCCCCCTCTCACAGAGGTGAGGAGCGCAACGTGATCTCCATTGTTTTTTCGTTGACGAATGCCAAATCCGGCAATCGATGTAGCAACCTTTGGTGACAAAAACGAACGCTGTGTCGCAATACTACCTTGGACCAAAGGTGCTCCCATCATCACTGCTGCCAAGAAATAACATAAAAACGCCGCTGATGAKGGAGGCGATATCCTGACTGCTCGGCTTGTCATTTTTGAAAGGGGGTGCTATATGCTAATCGAGCTGTTTCAATCTTCTTTTCTTCCCTAGATCACTAGTGGGTTGTGTGTCCCTGTGCCTTGAAAACTGATGTCAATTTTGGTCCACGCAACTTCCTCGATGTTGTATGCTTTTGACTTTCTCTGCTGTTAACTCTTTGAACATCCTGGGTCGAGGTGGGGTACAAGTAATACGTCCTTGTTGCTAGTCGGTAGCGTACCGTACTACATAAATTGATTCTGATTTTGATGTGCATAAAGCATGGTGGATACTGAGTACTTCCACCTGGCAAAACACTTTGTCGCATACGATACCTGCCGGTTGGTATGAGTTCATACAACATATCGTACGGTATCATAGTTTGTTACAGTATGACTTATGACTAATGACTACGTACCGTACCGTACCCTACGATACGATACGATATACTTCTACTTTACTAATTAACGACTACTTATGGTATGTACGAGTCATACGTAAGGTGGGAATGAAAATGAAACAGCGCGTGAAAAGTGAAAACTTAAGTACTGTACGACGTACTATTGTACCGTACGTTCCTACTCTGAGGGGTCTAAAAGTTTGAACCCTGCCTACGAGAAACAGTATGAAAACATAAGACTACTCCGCGATGACGATATTGATAAGCCTTCCTGAATTGTTCTTTGTGATACTTCTACTTGTAAGAGAGAACCAATGGGTTCCGGAGTTAGAAGTGCTAGATTCTTTCGGTGTCCTAGTACATTAACAATATTGTAATACGTACGAACGGAGCATTATAATACGTACGAACGGAGCTGGTAGTACATACAGTACCTAGCGTACGCTTACTTTACTTCCAGTGGTATATGTATGTACCGTACAGTAATTTATTTATCTTCGTTGCAAGTACGTATGTATGTTTCGTAGCATCATTTGGAAACAAAAAATACCACCACTACAAAAAAGACTAGTGCCCATGTTGTTCTCAATATTATCCCTTATCAAGTATTGGTTCTTTCAAAACTTCATGAAACGAGAACCAYTCTCATTCGTTAATTCTCGTATCAGACCTAGAACCTGTTTTTAGTCCACCAACTTCTTCACCTTGCCACGTGCTTTTGTTYTGCATCTCTGAGCGAAAGAGAGATTTCACGGTTCTCAGATTCTCAAAACAATAAGTTAATGTGGGTCAAATCCGGGCTGTTCGCAGATGTCTATCGTACACCTTTGATTACGTATGGACTGTACGGTAGCGAATGTACTGGTGGATTCAAAAGATTGCGGAACAATCCCTGTTGACACCGACGGCACTTGCAGTGAAAGATTTTTTCTCTTGTGCGGGGAAGAAATTTCGTCCCTCCGTGCGAGAACACCTTCGAGTGTATCTGCTACGAGATTCCGGTAGTACCTGCCAGGGGGTACTCGTACACAACGTATAGAGGTAACGAGACCACATCAGCTTCTCACCTTCGCCTGTCAAAATTTCGGCCTCTCATAAAAATTATTGTCTACTTGTGACAATTCACTTGGGAGTGACTGCAGGATAGACAAACAATCAAGAAGCATCTTACTACTCTGGATAGAATCATTGCGATGACGGCTGAAGATGTCGAACAACCGGCGCCTGCGACAGACGTCGATGTCGGGTTGACCGCAAAGGAAGTGGCAACATCCCGCGAAAAATGGGGATGGAACGAGATTCCGATGGCTGAAACCCCTCTCTATATCCTCTTTCTGAGACAGTTTACTGGATTCATGTCGATCATTATCCTCATTGCTGCTGTCGTAGCAGCCTCAGTCGAAGATTGGACGGACTTCGGCGTCATTTTGATCATGCTTCTTGTAAACGGTACGTGAAACATAAGCAATACAGTATTTCCAAGGTTACTTCAGCTGTTTTTAAATTATGACAGGCAACAAATAAWTAAAATGAATAGTAGCATCCATTCCTAACAATCCTCCGTCGGTTTCCCCTTTGCAGCCTCTCTTGGTTTCCACGAAGAATACAAATGTGCRCAGAGTTTGGCAGAACTCAGCAACTCTCTGGAAAGTGAAATTGCCATCCGCCGTGATGGTAAAACAGAAGCTCTCCCCACGAAAGAATGCGTCCCAGGTGATATTGTTCTATTGGTAGGCGGGACGATTCTCCCTGCCGATGTTAAATGGGTGAAGGGTGATACAATGTCGATCGACACTGCCGCTCTGACAGGTGAACCCATCCCTCGAAAATATCCTGGCGAACACGGCGATGTTATCTTGTCTGGCACCACTGTTGTCGCTGGAGAGTGTTACGGAGAAGTGGTAGCCACCGGTGTCAACACTGAAATCGGTCAAGCTCAAGCYGATGTCATGGCCGACAAATCAACGAGCACTATTTCTGTCTTCGAAAAAAAGATTTTGACAATGGTGAAGATTTTCGTCGCCGGTAGCATGTTTATGGTGCTAGGCGTTCTTTTGGTCAAAGGATTTGTCTACAGTGGATTCACACCTGTTGGCAACCTCGCTGAAGTTAATGCAGGCTCGTACCTTAGCAAAGGCGTAGAAGACACAATTCTCGGTGCCCTGAGTATTTTGATCGCATCTATCCCAATTGCGTTACCACTTGTRTTGCAAGTGAATCTTGCCCTAGGCGCAAGTTTCTTAGCAAARGAACACGCCGCGATTGTAACTAGTACTCCGGCTCTACAAGATATCGCTAGTATGAGCATGCTCTGCAGTGACAAGACCGGCACATTGACTACTGCGAAGATGTCTGTGATCAACGACCGTTGTGTACCATCCGGTAATTTCACTAAGGACGATGTCGTTCGCTTTGCCTCTCTGTGTTCAAACAAAGACAAGAAAGATGACCCCATCGACAAGGCTGTCMTTGATGCCTACGAACGATGCGAAGCTTCAAAAACGGATTCTGGCTACAARCAAACTGAAATCATTGGATTTAATCCAGTTGTGAAACGAGTTGTTGCATTCGTAGACCACAATGGCAAGACCTTAACCATTGCCAAAGGACTTCCAGCCAAAATTATCGATACTGAAGCAGGTGGYGTCGACGACCACGAGTGCCAATGGAAAGTGGAAGGATACGATGATGACAATTTTGTTGCTTCTATACTCAAAGAGGATACCGCCCTTTCTWCTGCTGGGTACAAGACTATTGCTGTTGCCATGTGCGAAGGTGATTGTCGCAAACCTGGAAATTACAAATGGAACTTCGTAGGTCTCATGCCGATGCTCGATCCTCCTCGCGAAGATACACCCGCCACTATCGCGTCTTTGCACCACGCTAACATCTCTGTGAAAATGATCACCGGAGATCACGTGAACGTTGGAAAAGAAACATGTCGTTTGATTGGTCTTGGCACTGATATGCACGCTGGTCAAGAAATCCGCGCTGCCGAAAGTCCTTCCACGAGGAACGAAATGATTCTTGCTGCTGATGGTTTTGGTGCAGTTTTGCCCAGTGACAAACGTGAAGTCGTGATGACACTCAAAAATGAGTTTGGATTGGTTACTGGAATGACAGGAGATGGTGTGAACGATGCGCCTGCTCTGTCTGCTGCCCAGGTTGGCATTGCTGTTGAGGGAGCTACAGATGCTGCTCGCAATGCCGCTGACCTCATTCTAACCGAGTCCGGACTCAGACCAATCTATGGTGCAGTTCTAGAGTCGCGTCGAATTTTTGCCAGAATCAAGTCCTACGTGGTGTACCGAATGGCAGCGTCAGCAATTCTAGTCCTGGTTTTGTCCATCATTGTTTTTGCTGGAGAGGGTTGTGTTGTCGACTCCATCCTTATCATTGTACTTGCYCTKCTCAATGATATCTCGATGCTTCCTGTTGCGTACGATAACGCTGATGCCACTGCCAAGCCTCAGCTCCCCAACACCACGAAGTTGATTCTAACGTCGCTCTACTACGGGCTTTTTCATACCGCCATGACTCTGATTTTTATTTTTGGTCTTGGTCTTCAAAAGGAAACTGAAATGATTGACTTCAGTGAATGTGTCCTTGATTCCAAAGGACCAACCGCAGCTTTTATTTGGGTACACTTGACGATTGTTTCAGAACTAGCCATCTTTTCGGTTCGCGCCCCATCCTTCTTCTTCTTTTCGATGCCCAGCATTTCGTTGATCATCAGTGTGATTCTCACTTGCATCATCGTTTCTATCGTTGGAGTATACGCCTTGGAGCTCCCCGGAATGAGTCTSCTCTGGATCTGGGTTTTCAACATTCTTGCTTTCGTTATTGTTGACTTGGGCAAGATTTGGTTCCGAAAAGCCATAGGTGATGCGCCCGGTGAAATCATCGAGAGCGACGAACTTATTGAACCGGAAAGCAAGAACGAAGTCAAGATTCAAACTGAGAAGAAGGAACGTTACAAGGTTCACAGAGAATCTGTCCTCCCACAGGCTGATTTCGAACGCCACGAGGTCSAAGTTGGTGGCTTATTCAATGTCCGAAACTATGATGGCATTGCTTTCAAACAACCTGGTGCAAGAATGAAGTCCATKTCGGTAGCTGCGAACGGTCACCGCCGCACTAAGACCTCCTCTGCGCCTGAACTAAATTTTTGGTAATCTGGACCTGAATATTTGATGTTGGTACTGCCGATCTTGTCGTTSCCGTTGTTATTAGTGAGAATGTATCATGGTGCATGTGTTCTGAGATACATTTCTTGCAAGCTGTAGTTGATCCTCAAAACATACAAACATTATTTTATAYGTCACGATATGATTTTGTTCCTATTCTGCAACCACTTTTAGTAGTTATATTTTGAAGGCAAGTAAACTGTCGCRTACAGGTTTAGTTAATATCTACTCACTAATCACTCTTGCTGGTGCTACAACTGAGCAACCASCACTAACTACTATCAGCAACAAGCTTTTTCATTTGATGGTGATCGTCTGAAGCTCTTCCAGAAGCATTTCAAAAATGAACTCAAGGCCAGTGGCTTCCCATGTAGGGTGAAGGAGTATGTGGTAGAAGTTGAGGACAAGCTTCCTCCTCATATTTTTGTGCAGAGGAGGAAATACTATTAGGAGTAGGAGTAGCACAAGAAGAAGCAGAACAAGATAAAGGAATACTACAGCCATGATACAACAGGGGCTCAGAGATTTCATCTGCAGCCTATTTCAGGAGGGAGGCTCTTACCCCAATATACAAACAAGAAGGCACCAGTTCGTGATTCACCTAGTAACAAGAACCTCCTGTTGTGGTGTTCTTCTTCTTGTTGCTCACCCCCAGCAGCCACCAGCAGCAACAAGAAGGAAAGAAGAAGAACAACAAGAGATTTACCTGCTGTCCTGAAGTTTTGTTAAATATTCTTCTTTTTGACAACCTTCTGCTGTCTTTATTGTGGTATGCTAGGAATCAAGCTGTTTTCTGACTCGATGMAGCCATACCGGTACCACTTTTTAAAAGTGTTGAAGATGAAGAACAAGAACACATTCATGACTGAAACCAACCCGGCTCAAATGAGAGGACTACTATTTCTATTCCTAAATTCCTACATGCTGGTACGTCCGTACGTACTGTACATACGAGTACTTATTTCGACCGACTGACTCACTCACTCCCATTTCGGGACCGGAGAAAAATGAGTTGACGAAGATGAATGATGGTCGTGGGAATGTTGGAATGCATCTCGAATAGTACCAGGTACCGTACAACGACCAACGTAAAACGTTTTGTTCGGACGCTCCGTTTCAAATCTGTAGATCACCCGCCCTGCTGAGTCTGTCGATTGATAGTACCTGGTACTTCGCACTTTACTCCTTTTATCTATTGGAATTGTTCCACAAAAATAGAACCAAAGAGCAGACCGCAACCGCSACCGCAACAGTAACCATGAACGTCTTCAAGTGCCTCCCCGTCGTCTTGGCGGTTTCGTSTATTGGTCTTTTCGCTACGGACGTAGAGGGATGGTCGTGCTTTCCTCCGTCTCCAGCAAAGAAAATCGTGAAGGAGATCAGCCGCAAATCCTTYATCGCYGGTGCGGTAGGAGGATTGGTAGTGGGAACCACGGCCACGGCCGCAGGGGCGGCGGTAGCYATCGAGAGAAACGCCGCTGCCAGCAAAGGSCCCTACGAACCGCCCGCAGGATCTCTGRCCGACAAGGTTGTTCTCATCACCGGTGGAAGCACTGGATTGGGATTGGTAAGATACGCTTCGACAGATACGCTTCGACAGATTCCGACGCGAACCTCTTTTCCCATTTSTTATTGAACGTCGACTCACACTTTGATGGACTCGAATCACCCAATCGAATCTCATCGCACCCTTTGCCTCGGAATGCAGGAATCCGCAAAGCGATTGGCAGCAGCGGGAGCAACGATCGTTCTGACCGCTCGAAGCGTAGCGAAGGGAGAGAAATCCGTAGAAGCAGTTCAGTCGTACCTGACCGAGAAAAGCGTAACCGGTTCCAAGGTTTTCAGCCTCGTCTTGGATCTCGACGATCTGGCATCGGTCAAGGCCTTCCCCGACTCGTACAAAAAACTCGGCCTGGGAGACATCGACGTGCTGATGAACAACGCCGGGGTCATGGCCATCCCCGACCGACAACTCACAAAGGACGGCTTCGAGCGCACCTTCCAGTCCAACCACCTCGGGCATTTCGTGCTGACCGCCGGGCTCTTTCCGTTCCTTTCGCGCAGCAAGGCCACCGTCATCAACGTCTCGTCCGAGGCGTACCAGTTCACCGGTGGAAAGTTCGACCTCGACAACCTCAACGGTGAGAAAAAATACGGTGCCTGGTCCTCGTACGGTTTGTCGAAGCTGGCCAACATTCTCTTCACCCAGGAGCTCCAGCGCCGAGCCGACGCAAGCGGCGACTCCTCGTGGCTGACCGCCGTGACGCTCCACCCCGGTGCCGTCCAGACCGATCTCGGCCGAAACATCGCCGGGGAAGAGAAATGGGAAAAGCTCAAGACCAACGAGATCACCCTGTCGCCGGTCGAGTCCTTCCTCCTCAACACCGCTTCCAAGTTCACGCTGACGGTCCCGCAGGGGGCCTCYACTCAGGTGTACCTGGCAGCCGGAGCCGACGGAGCGCTCAAGAAGGGGGCATTCTACGAGGATCTGAAGGCGAAGAACCTCCCTGCTTTTGCCAACGACGAGGCAAAGGCCAAGMAGCTCTGGGAAATCAGCGAACAACTCGGTGGCGTTGAGTTCAAGATCGAGAAACCGGTCGAGACCCMGGCTCCTCCTTCGCCCGAGGAGAGCAGCGCCTAGAGCAGGTGATTAAAAACTGTTAGCATCCTGGTGTAAAATTAGATATTATTCATTCGAGTTGATATTATTTTCTACGACGCATCCCAGAAGGGTCGCCTTTTCCCTCTGTCCGACACCGACAGGAATCATTCTTTCCCTCCGGACAACATGAAAAATGCCCCGTGGAATTTTGGTGTCGAACAATCATTWACAATGCATCCGCACGCTTTGGGTTCTAGGGGTTACGTTTCGTGTTTCGAGAGCTCGAGAACCCGCTGCAGGTCGGCGGCCTCCTGGTCCTCCGCCCCCAATTGAACGACCTGCCCGCTCGACGCTTGGGGCAAGGTGGGATACAATGAGGACCTACCACAGTCTGAAACGCTTGGTGGGCAAAGCGGGGATGGATTGTCCGACGACTGGCCTCCCTGGTACTCGACCCCGCTCGTTGCCTTGTACAGTGCCGCCATCCAGCTGTGGTATTCCCGCTCGCTCTCTGCGGCGGCACGGATGACGGGAGCGCATTCCGAGGAAGGATCCAGATACACCACAAAGGACAACGGGTGGTTCGGATGGAATTCCACCTTKGAAACCCCGAATTCGAGCGGGTACGACCTCTTGGGACCAACCTCCCACTGGTAGCCCTCTCCCCGCATGTAGATTTTGCAGTGCTTCGGCTTCCACCTGCGCARCATAGTATTGCTCTCCACGATGAGCGTCCCGGATATCATCGGGTACAGCGATAGATCCACATCCCCCCGATCCCGTTCGAACTGATCCATGGCCTCCGACCGAAGGGGGGAGTYGTTGTGAGAGGCAGCGCGGGCCTCCCGGGAACGATCCCTTCGTCCGGATGGGCTGCGGCCATTGGGCAACAAGAGGTCCCAAGTGGATGGCGTCCTCGTGGGTGACGGATTGTAGGGAAGCGCCGTTGCGTAGGTGGTTGGGGTCTCGTCTGCATAGTTGTATTCGCTGGCTTCGCTCCTCGGTGCCGGGCCAATGTGGGGGTGAACGTACGGGCTAGCATACTCCCGGGCCGTGACCGGCGTTGCTGGTGAGACCGGGGCCATCGCTACAWCKGCGTGYTGACCATACTCCACACCGGGAGAGGTGTTGATGAACCGGGGAACCGATTCGTCTTCGAACGATGGACTGGCATGACTTAGACCGCCTTGCCTATTGTCTCGGTTCGGGACGTTGTTGGTCTTTTCTTGCTCCTTGTTGGTCTGTCGAGCGATTTCGGCATCGGCGTCGTTGAGGTTGCTCATCATGGCCTCGTGCCTGCCGCGTTCCGAATCGATCTCTTCTTTCAGCAGCGTGAATCCCGTGTAGAGAGAATCGAGCTGTTGTCCCATGTCTACGATGCGTTCGTCCTGTACGGCAAACCGGGCCCGGAACTGGGCCAATCGGAGCCCGCTCTGGCCGTCGGCRTCTTCCAGTTCCTTGACRGTAATCGCGAACTTGTCTTTTTCGACCTTCAGGACTGTTTCGGCTTGTCGGGCACGTTCCTCGGCATCCTTGAGTAATTTTGCCCGCTTGATCTCTTCTGCGTGCAGCTTGGCTCTTGCGTCCTTGAGCTCCTCGTCCTTCTTCTTGAGCAACTGAACCATGTGTTCGTATTCGGTGGCCATTTCCATTGGAACCTTTGTTGCGTWGGCTCCGGCCTCTTGCATTTTCTTGGATTGGAGATTCCGCATGTCGTGGACCTGCTTGTGGAAGCCCTCCTCCAGCTTTTTGGCCCGCGCCGTTTCGCTCTGGCACTTTAGGATCATGTCCTTGAGCGCTTGTTTCAGCGGCTCTTGTTCCGACTCGAGCCGCATCGACCTGGCCCGTTCCTCGCGGAGATCGTCGTAGAGTTTCCGGATTTCCCGGGTCTGTTTTTCCTCGACTTCTTCCAGTTCGCCCACCCGCAGCTCGAGGTTGGCGATGTGGGGAGCCATGGCGTCCTTTCGCAGCTCCGCCTTTTTGGCCAGGGTGGCCGCCTCCAGCTCGTGCTTGAGCTTCGCGACACGGTTCTGGAGCTCTCCAAAGGCCTCGCTCGCACAGGCGTCCTCTAGGGCCTTCCGTAGGTTGGCGACGGAAATTCCCTGCAGGTCGGCCAGGATCCGTAGCTGGCGTTCMAGGCGGTGGATGTCGACGGATTGCGACTCGTTCTTGGCCTGGAGAATCCGCAGCTGCTTGGACAGTTCCGAGAGGCCGGCCGCGTTGGCGGATCTTGCGCGCTGCTGYGAGGGCGAGAGGCAATCGACAACAGAGGGCGATTCCTCCTTTTGGCTGAAGTTGCTTTCGTTGGTTTTGTGCCTGGATTCGGTCCCGTAGAAKTGGGAAGCGGYCACGGGATTTMCGGAAGCGCSGGCGATCGGAGAGGCCGGCACCTCGACTGCTATCGGTTTCCCGGCCGGAGCAGTGTTCATCGAAGCCGATGTTGTAGATGCCCCGGGCATGGATGCTTTTGGAGTGGTGGTGTTGGCACGGTAGGCAGGAAGGGGTGGAGGCACTGCGGTGGAATCCATATCGTCGTTGTCGTCACCRCCGAACGTGGTATCGCCCATTGTCACCTCGATGGTCTCTTCTTCGTARGTGTACTCATCGCCACTATCGTCGTCGTCKTCTTCCACGGTTTGGACGTTGACGAAACTGTAACTCTTTAGTCTCTGATTGTATCGTTCAAATTCATCCTGTCCGTCTCTCTTCTCGTCAGTCATGTCGTAGTCGTAGTCGTAGTCGTAGTATTCGATGGTATAATCGTCCAGGTTCTGGCCATTGCTGATTCGTTCTCCAAGAGACGATGCCATGGTGCTAGATAGAATTAGGGGCAGAACCGAACCGGCACGTGGGAAATACTAGTATCAAAAGCGAGCAAGAGAGGTGCGCTCCAAATCTATCGAAATCAATCGAAACAATTAATTTTGTGTTGCGGGGAACCGAACTCGACAACAGTACGTACTCATACTTACTACTTGGAGTAGTCTACAAGATTCACGACCAAGTGAAGGATTTCCGGATTTCCGACCTCGCGCCTAACGATTTGACGACTTTTTGAGCTTCCACGACTGGAGGGTGGATGTTTCTCTCCCGTCCCGGAACCATGTCGATTTCGATGTTTTTCGAAAAAATTAAATTCTCCGGTCCCCTTTTTTCATTATGTGATCGGTTTTGATCACAAAAAAATGTGATCAGAAATGATCACAAAATTGATGAATTTCTTGATCACAATTTTTTGTGATCAGTTTTGATCACATTTTTTCCAACGGATTAGAATTAATATTTACTTTTATTATTACATTAATATTTATATTCGATTTATATGATATAAATATATATATAAATATTCATATATATATATTTATATATATTAGCGCGTCGCGTTATTACTATGTTGGTAATACAGGACTGGTGTACTATTCGTAGTAGTACAAACATGTAAAAATACTGTTATTATTTATATTAGGGTATTGAGATCCTATATAAAAACGGGACTAGTACAAAATGTACACAAGACAGTTCGAATTTGTGATCAAGATTGATCACAAAAACCTGATCACAAATTTGTTATTTCTGATCACATTTTTTTGTGATCAAAACTGATCACAATTTTCGTTACCCAGAGGGGGATCTGGGAATCTAACTTTTTTCGAAAAAATTGAAATCGACATGGTTCCCGTTAGAGAAGCGTCAGAATTCTCAGATGAGTCCCGATTTGCTTCCGAGTGATGCAGTACAGTAAAAATCTGGAAGCATGGAAGCATTCCAGTAAAACGAAAAAAATACTATTACAACTGTAGTCGTTACGATCCTGCTACTTAGTAACAAAACAATAGCATCACGTCATCCTTTCGGAAGCTATTTTTATTATCAATATTATTGTGTTAGTTTCCGTTCATCATGCYGTTGAGTAGCTAGTACTACTGCGGTACGGATTGCGACCTCTTCCGTGGCTTTGCATCATCCCCGGCAAGCTCACCGACCTATAGGTCATCGTCACAGAGAACAAGAAAAAGAATAAGCAATGTTCCTCGGTAGYAGCCGCAAGTGAATCGTCTAATACTCATTTATTGCACTGCTGCAGGGAAGATCTCYCTCATTCGTCACCAGAAATATTGCGGATGATAAAAAATAGTGTCTGTAAAAAATTCTCGCTGCGAAAGCAAGATCAATACTACAAACGTTACTATCTTCAGACCTTGGAATCATAATACCCACAACTCATGGCAGTTATCAGCATGGCAACGGTTCGAACACACACTGTGTTTGAGTATATCATCGTCGGGCTTTTACGTCACAAATTCATTGTGTACACGTGCTTCGCCCTCAATTTTACKATTTCTTCTTTGATCGATCGATCGATTGATTGATCAATGATTCCTTCGCAAGCGGGCATAGGTGGAACCAGTTGTCGTTRGTCAGAAAAAATAGATTCCACCGTCGATGGTACAGGAGCCATGCCACACTTTCGAGACCGAAATCAAATGGACCTTGCGCTGGAAAGCAGCTTCTTTGTCAGAGGACCAACGCTTTGATTCGCTTTCCGTTCTGTTCCAACTCCGAGWTATTTTCTTTGATGCACGCAATTTCTTCGTGGGCGYGGAGTGAATGAACAGCTGATCTGTCACTCCGTTTATTCATCCGCYCATCAGTCCCTCTATGAAACCCCTATCTTGGAAGTTGCGTCGACGACCATTCCGAATCTAGTAACGAGCAGATCCCTCGTCCCTAGATTTCGTCAACATCCTTTTACACAGAATAGCCTTCCTCTATCAACCCATTGTTGGAGTTCGAGACTGCTTCGATCGCGAAAGGAGGCYTCGAATCTGGCTCTCRACGACATCCTTCCACATCGAGTAGCCTTGACTGTTCAGGTGCAGCTGATCGGAAGCAAAATAGCGCGGGTCTGCTTCGGCGCGTCCACAGAGCCGAGCTCCGGGTACATTGGCGGTTTCGCCACAAAACATGGTCAAGCAATCCACAAAGCGGATGCGGCCGTGGGCAGAATTTCCATCCAGTTCGCTGTAGTCCTGCAGACAGTGCCGGAATGCCCTCGCCATGGCTTCGTACTTTTTTTTGTAGGAGGGATCGTGCTGGAGCCAGGGCTCAAATTTGGGACCCAAAAAGACGAGGTATCGGTCGTGGGKYGTGGTTTGACTGCTGACAGTGCTGTTATTTCCGATGCCATCCTCGGCGAGGAAAACGAGGTCCAAGAATTTCTGCATCGCGTCGAGGCTCTTTCCCAGAGAGAGCCCCTCCCCAATGTCGTTTTCACCGGCACAGGCCACGACCACGAGTGCATCCGACGACGACGTTTGGGATCTTGATTCTGCATTACTAGCGGTGTTGCTGTGACGTAGGGTGCGAGATTCCTCGATAATCGTTCGCAAATGCGGAACCACTTCGGCTAGCGTTGCACCCGAATGCCCGCTCACGAGGGTCTGGTCCCATTCCGTGTCGCAATCGTTTCCGCCCTCCCACGGCGTTGGGAACAATTCCTTTGGCCAATAGGCAATGTCGGAATCCCCAACCAACAAAATTCGCTTCATRAAAAATCTGCTGTCGCACTGCTTCACTGGAAAGAAGTTATACGTTGCCCGTTTCACGCTCCACTGCTGTCGTGTCGTGCCATCGTCGCTTATCGCTTGTTATGCATATTTACCCCTACTTGCATTTTGTACGCTTCTKGAGGAAGATTCGGTAATACTGCCCTTACGTGCTTTCCAGTACCAGGTATTGAATTGGAAGTACACACAGAGTGATTCTGTACGGTATTTTTTACTGGATCGGTTTTTCATACATTATACATGGATCATGTATGACTCGTATGTACTAGTACGAGTATGAGCATTCTGATCTCTGATCTCTGTGCTCTTGTGCTCGTACGGTAGGTTTTATGTACAGTCTGAACCTGACTCGTAGACTGTAGCGTAGTAGGGATGGTGGTATCCACTGAAGTACTCGCACTTGAATACTTTGACGTACGAAGGACAGGCATCTAGAAGATCCTGATCCCCACAGGTTTTTTGTGTTTGGTGGTGTACCAAGTAGTACGGTAAGGCAGTTTTTTCTCATCGCTTTAGCGCGGCACGTTTCATGTTTCATTGGTGACCATGTTTGGGTGAGATAGGGCCTTTACATGACGATAGTACTCGTACGGTTTGCGTCTTACCGTACGTACTGTGATAACGAAGAAATCATRCTACTACCGGTTCGAATGTCCGAGCAAGAAATCTGTTTGCGGGACGTTGCGTTATCGGAATACGGCGATAGAAGTCTTTTGCCGAGATACGTTGGTCGTGGTATCGAACGATCTATCACCTCTGAAGAATAAAGCATTGCTCTACTCGAACGATCTGTGCCGATCCTAATTGTATCAAACCGCTGCTTCAAAGACAAAGATGGAGGGAGAMGATCAATCCAACGACGGGAGCAACGACGAMTTGTCCCTCATCGATCTGATTACCGATTTGGCGTCGTCGCGGCCRGATAGTATTTCAGAAGACGAGCGAGAAAGTCTCGTAGAGAATGCAACGGAACTTCTTTCCGRCGATGCAGACAACCGCCGAAGTCTCGCCGATCACGGAGGTGCGTAGGTTTCAAGAGAAGGCACATTTGTTGTCCTGATTTTTGCGACTTCTTYATCACAACKTTGTCACTTCCCATCTGACAAATTCATCTTTCTTCATTTACTAGGTCTGAAGTGCGCTGGAAAGTTCGCCAATCAAAGAATATCCAAACTATATTGCGTTGCTATTATTAACGAAGAGGACGATGAAGATGTTCGAAAAAAATTATGCTTGGGTCTCTGCACGTTACTGAAAAAGTGTTCGAACGGAAAGATCGTAGAAGACTGCAAACGACAACTTGGTGACAGCGGCGCAAGTATCTTTGCAGACATCGCAAAAGCGAACGAGTCATCACTGGGTATTCCCTCTCTAGTATTCGCAGCTACCACCGATTGGGATCAGTTTGTGACGATTGCCTTGAACACGGACCCCGTAGCGACGATTGGTGACTCGAAGCTATGCCGATCARTCTTGGAGAACATGACGCCGACCTCTTGGGAAGATATTGTCGGCCCTCCTCTCTTGCTGAAACTCAAGGCGAAACCCGAAAGTTTATTACCAATGGTAGAGGGCTTCATGCGGTTTGCAAATGCAGCTGCTATAGGACCGTCGAAGATTGTAGTCGAAGAATATTTAACAGTGTTGTGCAAGTTTTTGAAAAGTCCCAAGCAAAAAGTTCGGGACCTTTCTTCTTCGATTTTACAGCACATTGCGAAAGCCGTCATTGATCAAGAGCAGGAGGAAAGTTTGTCGAAGCTAKTAGATAGTGTTGCCGAAACAAAAGGCCTGRCCCTACCACACCAGAGGCAAATTGTATACCACACACTTTATCAAATTGGCAACAACATAACAGCAACAGGTTCGATTGAAGTGAAGAAGAGCACAGCTTCGGCAGTGCTATCCGGAGTTGGCGTGCCATTGGCTAAAGAGGCCAAAGCAGCGAAGCAAAATCGAGAACAGGGCCTACAAGCTTTGATTTCATGGATTGTCATCGCGAGAAAGAATGGTGTGGGCAGTGGTGACAAAGGKTATGATGACGCCTTAACTTTTGTTCGCAAACCCGTGATTGCAAAGAATGGACCCGATACCGTGGAGAATATCGGGGCCATGGTCCAGCAAATCAATCCCGACACCATGGAGAATATTGTGCTGGACCTTTGGAAGGATCCAAAATTTGTGAAGGGGTTGGAAGCATTCATTGAACAGGCAAACAAAAAACATGCATCGTCATCTTCAATAGCACCTGTGGACGGCTTACTGGCTATCTACCTAAGCTTGGTACATGTTGGAGTTTCGTCATCCAAATTATCACCCCTTATTGAGAAAGCCCTTTCGGCGGGTTCGATGTCTATTGGAAAGACCACKTTTGTATACGGAAAAGCAGCMACCAATGCCGTGTCATCAAACTCAATTGTAGGTCTAGTTTTGCCTCAAATTATTTCGATGTTCACAAAGATTGCYTCTAGTACCAACATAAAGCAGGGTAAGATGAAAGCATCTTCTTCCAGTGTTCGTGCCTTGGCCTATTGCACATCCTATCCTGTTGCAAGGGGAAAGAAAAGTCCGAGTGATTCGATTGAATCGACACTTCGAACTGTTTTGGACTATGAATCAATTGCTATCCCACTGATCGAGGCACTCTACGTCTGTGTTAATGAACAATCTGTGGAATCGGGCAGTGCTAGTACTGTCTCKKTAGATACCGTACGCCAAATTGCTGGAATGCTTTCTACTCGATCTCTTTCGGCGGGGTCAATGGCAAAAGCTCTGATCTTGATGCACTTGGGAACTTCTCAAGAAACCGTGGATGCTGAAGATGAAGAGGAAGATGGAGAACGTAGTGCATTAGTAGAGAACACAACCACAGCACTAAAGGCTCTCGTGGTGTCTTGTGGAAATCAAAATGAATTTAAGTCAACCATCTCTGAAATAGTCGCTGAGCAAGCATCAGCTGCCAGTTACACKGACAAGGAAGTCGCCATCAGYGAAAGCTTACACCTGGCTTCGCAGAGTCTCTTGATTTCCCTTGGTAACGCCGCATCTAATTTTAGCCCCTTGTCTGATGACCCTGAGGATGACGATATGAAACCTTTTGCATTTGCTATGGATGTTTTGACGAATGGGATATCTACGCGGCTTGCCGATGGGTTGGTTCCTATTACGTGTGAGATCGATGGGCTTTTGACTGATGATATTGCTTTGTATACGAGTMCTATGGGTACTCTTCACGTTGARGATAACTTGAAAGAAAAGACAAACGTGCCTACGAAGGATACCGGAAAAAGCAGGAGGACCGAAGACGAAGAATGGGAGCTTCAGATCAAAAAAGAGTTGGCAAAGAAAAAATCAGCTTCCACTGAAAAAAGTTCGACACTTTCGGCGGATGACAGAAARWTGGTTGAAAAACAAGATGAAAAAAGACGGGAAATTACAACATTGATCGAGGGGAAATGCTATCGTCTACTGACATCAATCGAGTCTCTCGTTAGTTCTGATATCGAAATCGGAAACTCATGTTTRCCGACCCTCTCGCCTGCCGTTCTTCAGTTATCGATTCTAGATTGTCCTGCTACCGACAATCTCAATGAAATGAAAGAAAGACTCTCCAAGACTCTGACTTCCTTGGCTGCATGCGTTTATGAAATTGAAGAGGAATATGCTCCCATGATGGCAACAGCTTTAACCATCAGTTGCAAAAATCCTGAAAAATCYGAGGCAAAAACGGAAGACAAACCTTCGGATACCTCTACTAGATTTATTGTTCATGCTCTTCCCACACCATGCGAGCCAGCTGCTAATGCTGTTTTCGAAATGGATGAATTTCAAGAAGAATTGTCTGGCCCTTCTTTTGCATTCCTTTTTCCGATTATTCGTGCTGCCTTGATGGGTCCGCGAACTGTCCCAGGGTGTGAAGGAGCCCTTCGTGTATTGGAGAGACATACAGTGTTGCTTGTTGGAGACGATGCCGATGAAAATGTTAAGCTACTACGCGCGGATATGGTAACAAGTGTCCTTGAACTACTCAAACATGATCGTGCAAAAGCATTCGTTGATCCTGACCCTTATGAGACTTTAGTGGCTTGTTATTCCACGGATGAAGATAATGAATCTGGCCCGGCACTTACGACTGCTGAGCTGGCACCGCTCTTGGACGAACGAGGTGCATTAGGCGAAAAAAACTGCCGCGTAGCTGCTATGATTGCCTTAGGATCAATTGCTTCGAGTCACAAAAAGATCGTGAAAAATAACCCTCTGATTGAGAATAGGGTCTGGCTGAATTGTTTTGAGGATGATGAATCCATTCGTGCAGAAGCAAGAAAGACATGGAATATAATGAACAGCAAAAATGAAACGGACGAAACACTACCGCCGCCCTCACCGATGTATGCAGTTCCTCTTCTCCCTCTATTRCATAGTAGCAACCCTGGAATAGCTGCTGCCGCTGCGAAAGCATACGCTTTTGGTATGAAAGCTCACCCAAAAGGTGTCAACAGAAATCTCAAGAAGCTTTGTAATTCGTACATAGATTCATGCCCTCAACCCGAAGGTGCAGGAAAGCCGGCATCGGGAGCTGGAGCGTTTCCGAAGGCAAATTTCCCAACACCTGCTCCACCAAAAGCAAAAGCACCTGCACTTCCGAAATTGAAGAAGAAAACTGTCAAGAAATCTCCATTAGGGTTGGCAGCGATAGGTCAACCAAAACCAAAAAAAGTTTCGAAAAAGACGAAAAAGATGACGTCAGCCATGTTGAAACCAAAGCAAGAGAGAACCTTGGATCAAGCTGCACTCGAAGACCAGTTTAAAATTGGACCAAAGACAACACCTGCAGAAGAGGATGCACCAGAGAAGGTTTCTATCAGAACTGGGGTACTTCGAGTCCTTGCTGCGTTTCCCAGCGCTGAGCTAGAGATGGATACTGATACTCTAAAACTACTTACATCCTTCCTCATGGCTTACGGTATCGCAGACGGAAATGAAGATGTGAAGAATACTTCACGTAACGCKTTGAAGGACATTATTGTTTCATATGGAGCATCTGACGAAGCCATTGCTTTCCTTTTGCCGCATATCGACGGTATTTTGAAGAATGGACTCGCAGACTCCCAGGCTCTTGATGACTTACCCAAAACCAAAATTGCTGAAAACACAGAATCATCGAATCGCAGAAAAGAAGGAGCCGTCGTGGCACTGGGATCTGTGGCTCTGCACCTGAAAGGTCCTGAAAATGCCATGAAGATTGACAACTCTGTTGATATGCTAATCAATTCACTGAAGACGCCGAATGAAGATGTTCAAGCGAGTGTGGCTGATGCGTTGACCAAGCTCATGAAGAAGGGAAACACGCAGGCAAGAATTGAAGAAATTTTAGATCAACTGGTGGCTGTTTGTTTGGAAGGAGACTCACAGGCAACTAGGCACGGTGGTGCGTATGGAATTGCTGCGGCGGTGAAGGGGAGTGGCATTGCCTCTCTAAAGAAGTTCGGTATAGTCACAAGGCTCGAAGAAGCTTGCGCCGAAGGCTCATCAAGCAACAAAGAGGGTTCATTGTTTGCAATCCAATTGTTGTGCACCAGACTTGGTCTTCTTTTCGAACCCTATGTAATTGTGTTGCTACCTTCACTATTGAAAGCATTCGGTGATGGAAGCGATGAGGTACGGAAAGCAGCATCCAAGACTGTGGGGGTAATCATGAGCAAGTTGTCCGCACATGGAGTAAAATTAGTTTTGCCTGCAGTTCTTACTGCTTTCAACGACAGCTCATGGAGGACTAAGCAAGCTTCTATTGACATGCTTGGTGCGATGAGCCATCTTGCRCCGAAACAGCTTGCTTCGGCATTACCCAAGGTTGTCCCAAAGCTCACTGAAGCCTACGCTGACACTCATCCAAAAGTCAAAGGAAGTGCTCAAGGAGCTCTTGACGAGATTAGTAGTGTCATTCGCAATCCCGAGATCCGTGATATCAGTCCGAAACTGCTGAAGGCTCTAACGGATCCTGCCAACAAGACTCTTTCAGCTCTTGAAGCTCTAATCGAAACAGAGTTCTTACATGCGATTGATGCTCCGAGTCTTGCTTTGATTGTACCAATTCTTCACCGTGGTCTTCGCGATAGGGCAGCTACTACGAAACGATATGGTGCTCTTATCACTGGAAACATTTGTACGATGATTAATGATCCACGAGATTTCATTCCCTACATTCCTACTTTGATGCCAGATCTGAAAGGTAGCCTACTTGACCCTATCCCCGATGTGAGAAGCATTGCTGCAAAAGCTTTAGGATCGTTAACGAGAGGGCTGGGTGAAGATGCTCTGCCCGATCTTCGTCCATGGTTGTTAGAACAACTGAGATTGGAGGAATTGAGTTCTGCGGAACGCAGTGGAGCTGCTCAAGGTTTGACTGAGGTATTGATTGCTTCTGGAAATGCTGTTGTTGAGGCGTTGATGTTGGACGACATATTGCCACTTTCAAGTCACCCATCCCATAGTACGCGGGAAGGTGTTCTCTGGGTATTATGTTTCCTTCCGCCAGCCATGGGGCATGGATTTACTWCGATGTTAGATGAAAGTCTTCCAGCTCTCATCAGTGGTTTATCGGACGAAAATGAGCAAGTACGGGAAGTGGCAATGAAAGCTGGTCGCGTTTTGATCCGAAGTCACGGCAAGGTTCACTTTGATAAGATTCTACCTATATTGCAAAATGGTATGACTGACGAGGACTATCGAATCCGTTTGTCGTCGCTCATGCTTCTCGGTGATTTGTTGAGTATGATTGGAGGCACCACTGTCTTACGGACAGACGGAGACACCCAAGACGACATTAGAAAAGCTGAAAGAGCTCAGGCACAAATTACGCARGTTTTGGGAATCAAGACAAGAAATCAAGTACTTAGTGATATCTACMTTGCAAGAAGTGATAGTGCATCTGCTGTTCGTCATGCAGCAATACAAGTGTGGAAGACAGTTGTCAGCGTCACAGCCCGAACCCTGCGACAAATTCTCCAGGTCTTGGTTAGCAGAGTTGTCGGAGATTTGGCAAGCGGAGATGCCGAGAAAACTGATACAGCCGGAAAATGTCTCGGAGATATCGTTCGTAAACTTGGAGATTCTGTTCTTCCCAACGTTGTTCCTGTCCTACGTAACTCGTTRTACGAAGGAGATCATAACACAAGGCGKGGAGTATGCGTGGGTCTATCCGAAGTTATTCTTTCTTCTACAAAAGACCAGATTCTTCGATTCCTTGATATTATTGTTCGAGTTGTGCAAGATGCAATTTGTGATGATAATGATGGTGTTAGAGCCATGGCGGCCGAAAGCTTTCAAAACTTGTATAAGTTGGTTGGTAATGTAGCAATGGATGAGGTTGTACCATCACTTATGGTGGCGCTTGAAAGCGCGGACGAAGACGAACAGCGAAGTGAACGTGCCATGAATGGACTAACTGGAATCTTGAGTATCCGAAGTAAGGATCTTCTTCCTTATATTATCCCAAGGCTCATACAGCAACCAATGACAATATGTCACGCAAAGGCTATTGCAAGTATTGCAACCGTAACAAGTGAAACCCTCTATTTCCACTTCAATCACATCATACCTGCTCTATTGCAAGATCTCTCGAGTGGTAATGATGATAAAGCACAAATCGAAGCGGTTCGAGATTGTGCAAAATCTGTTTTCGAACATGGAGACGAGGCTGGAGTAAACAAGCTAGTTTCCGAGGTTACAAAGAATTGCACAAGCGATAAGGCAGAGCTAAGAAAAGAAAGTTGTTGGATGTTRGGAGCTATTGTCACRGCACGTAAGTTACTTGGATTCTACGKTTTGTCCTTGTTTGTCGTAAATGCCGCGATTAATTACCTCGAGTGGATAAGAAAGGCATTCAGAGATAATATTGTTTTTGTCAATTGTTTTTGTCATATGTTTTTGTCATATGAGATACTAAAAAATTCTGTCACTCTGGTATCGAATTATAACTTTTTTTGCTTTCTCTTAACAGGTAAAGAGGCCAAGGACTTTTATGATCTCAATTSTATCATCATCCGTGAGCTTATTCATAGATTTAACGATGAAAACAAGGACGTTGTCAAGGCCGCAAACAAGGCGTTCGCTGCGTTGTCGAAATCTGTTCCTGCAGAAGTGCTTGTGGATGATATTGAGTACATGAGGAACATCATTGCCAGTATGGTTAGCGATGCCAGGAGAAGGAAAGGTGGTGTCGGAGATGGAGAATTCCTTCTTCCAGGGTTTAACATTCCAAAAGGTGAGTCTTCCATTTTGATTATTCCACCAATCACTTATCGCTTGATCACACTCGTCATATCCGTTTCTTGCGATATCTTTTGGCTAATCCGATTCCCCCTCTGTCCTCATTTTTGTCAGGTCTCGAGCCGCTGCTCCCGATTTACCAGAGAGGTATCCTTTATGGAACACCGGCCGTRCGAGAAGCATCAGCTGCCGGGCTTGGCGAAGTAATCAACTTGACTGCGAATAAGTTCCTTGCTGGCCCTCTTATCATCAAGATGACCGGGCCATTGCTTCGTATCGTAGGCGATCGAAACCCAGCTAACGTCAAGATCGCTATTCTACAGACACTAGGGCTCATTCTTGTCAAGGGTGGCCCCGCCCTYCGAGCATTTGTGCCCCARTTCCAGACGACGTTTGTCAAGGCGCTCTCCGATCCTTCCCGCCAGGTCCGAATAGAGGCAATCAATGCTCTCGGGCTTCTCATGCCGTTGTCGACACGGGTGGATCCATTGATCAAGGAACTCGTCGCTGGATCTTTGGGAAGAGACTCTTCYGGAGACGACGGTGTGGGTGTTGTCGCGGTTCAAACCGCAACTCTGGAAGCCCTTGCTGTCGTGTTGGCAAAGGGTGGTAAGAAATCYAAGCTGCCAGATAGCATCCCATCYGCTCTAGAGGCAAGCACGTCCCTAATTCGTCATTCTGACGAGTCKGTGCGAGAAGCAGCCGCCAAGGTAACTGGTGCTGCATGCAACATTTTGGGTGCAGAGAAAACTGAAGAAACAATGAAGGACTTTGTTCTGGATATCGACGACGACGACTCTGGCGATATCCGCGAAGGAAAAGCCTGCGCTATTCGCCGGGTGTTTTCGGCCGATGTTGCGAAGAAGTTAGACGGGTCGATCACATCGGAAGCACTCGCCGTCGCAACCAAATACATGAACGACGAGAAGCTAGCTGTGAAGGAGTCAGGAATCGTAGCCGTTGGGGCTGTAGTAGGCAGAACGGAAAACCCCGAAACTAGTCTCCGCAGCGTCGAGAAATCTCTTTTGTCTTTAATGGTCGGAGATCTYAAGCAGCGGCTTGAGACGCACCAGGCCATCGCTCGCTGTCTGTGCCTATGCCTKGAACTATCAGACGTCGATAGCCGCATTGAACTTTTTGGTCTCAAACTATTGAAGGCGTGTATGAGGCTCGCAATGAGTGGAAATCAACGTGTTCAATTTGCCTATAACGATGTGCTTTGGCTTGCGTTGAGAGTTTCCGAAGGACAGGATGGTCTYGACGAGTTTTCTTCGTTGGCAATGTTTGAAGATGCAAAACAAATGAAGAGTATTTACTCAAAAGTTCTTCTGAAAATCAAAACAGCCAAGATTTTGGAGGACTAATTTCATTGTAGTCTAGCCAATGGCAAGGATGCTGCAATAACAAAGTTCTCTAGGAAAAATAACAAAATTGAAAGTAATAAAAGAACATACAAATTCGAGAACGACCCATTTTATTTTACTACTACGAGTTTCGTAACAATTGAAACCGGACTCCGCCAAAGAGCAATAAGTAATAATTTCAAGTTATGAACTTCAAAATGTCCCTGTAGAAAGTCTACCAGCTTCTACTGAGCTAGTTTTTGGATGGCATTCATGATTGAAAGGCCAGGATTCATAATTGAATCACGTGGAACAATTTTGTTTTGTTTTGAGGGGAATCGATTCGGTCATTCAGTCATTTTAAAAACAAGCTCAGTAGAACCTGGTACATGATGTACAAGCAAAAGTTCATAACTTCAAATCAAACTTTAGAACTTGAAATTATTACTTACGGTATTGGGTGATTCCCGATATTATAGAAGTGCTAAACTGCTTATTTAGCATTTTTATAATATCAGGAATACAAATTTCAACGGACAGACCACGAGCATGCCAACTCCATGCCAGTCTTTTTGGGAATTTGGAATTCTCCAACGTAAACACTTAAAAGACTCAAAACGCGCGCCACATTTTGGTACAAAGGAAAACATGGAATTTTCGATACTCAACAACTAGCATAACACATGAACTCATTTTCTACTTATTTTCAGTAGAAAATGAGTGGATGTGTTACGGTAGTAACTAGAGTAATACACGAACACATTTTCTGCTTATTTTCAGTAGAAAATGAGTTCATGTACTACGCTATCATCCAGCCGACAAACACACTAATTGATAACAGTTTCCTCCCAGCAAAACAAAAGGCAACATCAACCATCAACAATGGATAACAATGTACTGGTACCTCCAGTTGAACGCGGAGGAGGAGCACCAAAGAAGTTACAAAAGCAAACTGTCTCCAGAGGAGCGCCGAAGGAGGGACCGGAGAACCCCAAGGATTGCAATCAGGAGGTACGCCACTTCCCCTTTCCTGTACATGTTCCACTCAGGGGATGACCAAGCATTGCTCAACTGTTGTGGCATGGACCACAAGGTCTTCAGGGAGCTTGTTGACCTGTTTGCTCCAGTATGGAACAAGTACTCAGTCAACAACAACAATGAGATCGTGGAGGTTCCTTGTTTCCCCAGTGGCAAGCCCAAAGGGAAGAAAAGGGAGGTCGATGCAGTCTGTGCAATAGGGCTAGTCCTTCACTGGTACAGGACACGAGGATCGGTAGCAAGGGCAATGGCAATGGCGTTTGGCTTAACATCAACAGTGATGTATAAGTGGCTCAAGTTTGCAAGGAGAGTGATGCTTGTTGCCATTCACAAACATCCAGTGGCCATGGTCAGTGTCCCAACTAAGCAAGAAGTGGATGTTTATGTGAAGGCAATTGGGGACAAGTATCCAAGGCTTGGAGAACAACGTGTCTGGGGAGCTGCAGATGGGCTCAAGCAAGTAATTGAAGCCTCTGGAGACTGGTATAAACAAAGACCATTCTACAACACGTGGAAGGAGAACACCTATGTCAACAGTGTATTTGCCTTTGCCCCGGATGGTAGGATCCGCATAGCAGTCTACAACTGCCCAGGAGCGTGGCACGACAGTGCCATTGCAGAGCATGGTGTGTACCAAAGGATTGTTTGTGTCCATGAAGAGACAGCCGGGAAGGTTGTGGTGGATTCAGCATTTGCCCTGAAAGAATACAAGGATAGCCTCATCAAGAGCTCACAGAGGGACCCAGATCAACCAGAGTGGATACTCCTCAACAGGGATGCAACATCCTTGAGACAGATGTTGGAATGGGGAATGGGCATGATCCAGGGACAGTTCCCTAGAATGAAGGACAGGATGTGCTTGGAGGAGCAGGGGAAAAGAAAGATCACCATGAACCTTCTTATCAACTTGTACAACTACTACCAGTGTAGTTATATAGGACACAACCAAATCCTATCCACTTTCATTAGGACTCCACCGGCAACTGATCCGGAGGTAACTCACGAAGACTTAAGAAAAGATCTTGCAGGGGGATACTTCCGTGTTGGACGTGGGATCTCCCCTGATGGAAATTCGATATTCCGACAATGATTCCCATGGTCAATTTGGTTCTGTGGTTGTTGCGAAAGACGCATGTTTAGTTGGTTGAGCTCAACAAATTGTTTTGAAAAAAACACTGTTAAGGTGGTGTAATCGATCCAGCTTAACAGTGTCCTTTTCAAAACAAATCAAATCCGACGTGATACAAGCAGGAGTTTTCAAAACGCCGACACACGAGGATACAAACAACAATACGAGCACCATCGTCATGGTGGTGCGAATGCAATAGTTACTTTCCTTAACTGGTTTGAACAGGCAACACTGTTTTGTTTGGTTGTATCAAGCAATATGAATGAATGGGGGAATTAGCTGCTATCGTAGGAGCAAGCAGCTAAGTACCTGATACGCGAGTTAGGTTTTCATGTATACACCTGTGACCTGGCTTCCGCGTTTGTTGATACACACAAATGATGGAGTACATACCGATTTATACTGTAATGAATAAAAGTTCAGCGTTATACTGTAATGAAGAAAAGTTTATGATACACAACATGTGCATGCCGATCCAAACCGTTTTCATGGGACTTCCCACGTGCTGTTAGAGGCAAAACAGTTCTAATCCCGCATTGGTATACGCAAAAACCTTCTCAAGAAAACCTTTACGCAAGCAAACAGTTCCACAAACAGTTACTCGTACAGTTCTTACTAGAAAAGTAGTACATGGTAACGAACTAGCACACTGAAGCTCATTGTTTCATATCAGTCAAAATACAGTGTTAGTTAGTTTAGTTAATTTAGTCTAATGTAATGTAACAATCATTCAAACGCCAGGACCATGGTGCTTCTTTTCACCACCATGGGATTCTTCCTCTCCTGTGTGTTTGTGTTTCTTGTTGGATGTTGAGGCGGCAGCAGGCAATGTTACGACAGTCGATGCAACTGAAGGAGGACCACCGTAGGAATGGTAATGGTAGGGGGTAGGAGGGTTAGCGGGAGGAGGAGGACTATGGTAAGAATGCTGTTGTTGTTGCTGCTGCCAGGTATTCATCATGGTCATAGCTGCTCCAAGGAATTTCTCTGCTACATCCTTTACACCACTCCACATCTCAATACTGCATTGGTCTCTTCTTTCCTCTCTTTGTTCCTACTTGATAATGTATTCATTCAATACGGCGGCGGCGGGGACAGTTTTCCTTTGTCCTTGGTAAGATCTCTTCTTTGCTGGGGTAGATTCAACAAGAGAAGGAGTCAAGTTACTGGCAGCAGCAGAGGAAGCAACAGCAACAGTAGCATACTCCTCTCGCTCCTGCTGTTCTTCCGCGGATTCTTCATCTCCGGCAAGAATAATTGGAGCTCCTTGTTGTTGTGCAGTCATCGATCCGGCAGTAGCAGTTGTAGTTGCAGCTATAGTGGCCCCTGAAGACAGCACTGTTAAACCGGCTACAGCCTCACTCTTAATGAAGCCTTGCTCCAGATCAAAGACCTCCTCTCCAGTTCCAAGATTTGCCTTTTCACCAATCAACTTGTGGGCTAGACGTGCCAGCTGCACGTACTCCGGCATGTTGGAATTCCCAGTGGCTCACAGCTGCATACTTAGTCTTGATGGAGGTCGTGGTCCTACCAACAGGCCAACTCTCAGCATGCTTTGCTGTAATGTACTCCCATCCCTCACCACATACAGGGATTGCATCCACTATCAGTCTCATGAGACTGTTGACCTCTTCACGCGAGTAGTTAATAGTACCACTCTTCCGACCAGATTTGCCGCCAGCAGCAGGAACAGATGGATCCATCTTAACAAATATAGTGTGGGGGATGGGACAATGGTGGGCCTGCTCATCGTTGTGACAATGAGGTCCCTCTTTGAGGAGGTCACCGGCAGCCTCCTCCTCCTCGTGAGCCTCTCTTTGCTGCAACAAAGAAAGAAAATAGAATGTACTGACTAACAGCACTGATCGAGACATAGTTTATGTCCCTGCTGGGCGCCATTCTTGGTTGTTATTACTAGAGGCGCCTCATGGCCCATGCTTGTTTGTTGTCGTTTAGAAAAAAAAGGAGTTGGTCCAGTCTTATTTTGGCGGGCCTTTCTGTTGAATCTTAAAACGGACTCGAAATTTTGATTCTTGGGTTCCATCATAGATTTAGCACATTTTGAATGGGGTCAGTTGACCCATTCTAAAAATACTAAATCTATGACAAATCGTCATAGATTTTCAGTCTGTCTGTCTATCAAATTTAGCATTTCTATTGTATAGCTTGGGCAGAGTGATTCCGGTCGACCCAGTCGTACATTAGCAATTCAATATATTCGTAAATGTATATCGATGAATATTCGTCGGACGGCATTCAACCCAACCGCTTTCTTTGAATTCTCTTTTCAACCATGTGCTTATGATTGTTAAGCGTCCGTTGGGGACCAAATTATAGCTGTTAGAGTGAGTTGTACCCTAGTTAACCCTCTACGTGTATTTTGTACTGTGCAGGGATTTTTGGCTATCTTTTTACCATGTAATGACTACTTTGACTCAACCCCCAACGGACGTGCTGCTCACTAAATTTGGCCACTAATCGTGTAAACCCGTATCTTGGCAATTCCACTCCTTGATACATTTGTTCTGTTTCCGGTTTATCAGAAGGAACTGTGACGGATGCATTTCCCCATGCTTTTAACATGGTGTATCGATCCCATTTCTTTCTATTAGAATTGATCAAGAACAATACACCCTGTGACGGAGAGCACCCCTGCTAAAAATGGAGGATACTGCTGGAAAAAGCAAGGAGCAGCATAATAAGCAAAATAAGCAACAGCAGAACAAGCAAGATGAGCAAGATGAGCAACCGACTCTAAAAACACCAGACTTCCTAGTCGAAGATATCCATAAGGATGTATATCGACGCTACCCTGCAAGCTCCCCAGACTCAGTCCCTCCACGACGCACTGGAGCAGTCTTATTTGGTTGCCATCCAAAGCAAAGAGTTAAATTGAACAGGAGGAGAGCAAAAACAAAGAAGGCAAGACACCAAGCCTGGATGCTCGTTTACAAAGGACCCAAAGCCTGTGCATATAAGCACTGGATGCCACAGCGGAAGCTCGCGATTGTAAAGGGGAACATGGAGATGAAGTGGCACCCAGCA